CCACTTGTACACACTCGGCACCAAGCCTCAGTGCCATCTTGCTTCATCTCCCTGGACTGCTACCCTCATTAATGACTGTGACTTCAGTCAGGGACTGCAGGGAGGGAACACTCAGTGACAACCTAGAGGCAAGGACAGTTGACAAATAAATATGGTTCCAGTTTAAGTCCTTTGCCCCATTCTCCTCTCCTGACTTCTTTCCATTATCCTATAACCCAAGTCTTTATTTTCCCAGCTGTGGTGGAGAAGGAAAAAGATTCCAAGACTATTGTATTTAAGTCCACACCCGTAAGATGAGACCATCCTACAACCCTAGGGACTGACTCCATTGAGCTCCACTGGCCACAGATCTGATTGCATCTCACCAATCAGAGGAGTCTGAATTCCAGCCAAAGGAGGTCTATCTCCTTGCTTGTAAATACCAATGTCTCCACTATGAGAAGAATCCTAGAATGATCCTCCTGTGAGTCAGCAGGGACTCTAGAGATTATGTATTGCTCCAACACCCTCATGATAGATGAGGGAACTGAATTTTAAGGTGATGATCTAAGTGTCCAAGGCTACCCAGGAAGTTAATGACAAAGTCTGGACAACAATTCGGAAGTCTTGACCCAATGTGGCACTAGCTTACCTGATCCTGGTCCTTTTAGATGCCAAATGTTTCCACCCAGGGGCAAATCTGAGCAGCCAAGGAAGGAAGATCTGAATTTTCAAACTTCTTGTAGAAGCCACTGCTCCAGGAGACCTCTCTGTGTTATAGCCAGCCCTGGGGACTCTGTCCCTTCCTACCAGCCTTTGACTACATTGCTGTTTTAGGAGCCCTGCTAGCTGCCAAGTTAGACCCATCTGGCCAAAAACAGCACCTGACCTCACCCTCGTGGTCTCCAGCGAACAGGGCTAGGGCCTCCATTGTGGAAGTAGAACTTGCACAGAAATGCCATAAATATTATTTTTCGTTTTTTTTAAGTTGGAGTCTCACTCTGTCGTCCAGGCTAGAGTGCAGTGGCACGCTCACAGCCACCCCAGCATTGACCCGCTGGGCTCCGGCAATCGTTCCTCCTCAGCCTTCCAAGTAGCCAGAACTACAGACACATGCTACCACACCCGGCTAGTTTTTTTGATTTATTGTAGAGATGAGTTGCCCAGCCTGTTCTTGAACCCATGGACTCAGGCAATCCACTCACCTCGGCCTCCCAAAGTGCTGGGATTACAGGCTTCAGCCACCACACCTAGCCCCTGCCATAAATATTCTACAAGCAAATATCAAAGGCTCCAATTTCTCTACCCTCCCTTTAGTGCACCATTTCCAAAATCATCCAGCAAACTTGACTTCAACCTGTGAGTCAAACCAAGTCCAGTAGATAGATATTTATTGAGCTACTATTAGATAGGCAAAAGTACCAAGTCTGAGCTCTATACAAAGACAAGCCTGAGTCTCTGCCTTTGAAGAACTCACAGGTTAATTGGGGGAGATGGGGCAAAGTTGCATTCAAAGTTAATACACAAGGGAGCAGTACAAAAGTTCCATGATGTCACACATGACTAATTGCAAAATTATTGGAATTGATCACAAGAACTACTGGAAAAGAGAAGAAAACATTGTGCATTAAACAGTCCAGGGAAGTTTATGGAAGAAGAATTTGATCAGGACTTTAAAGGATGGGAAGAATTTAGAGGGATAGAATAGACAAGCATTTCTGACAGCGGCAACTGCGAGACAAGGTTCAAAGACAGAAAAGTGTGAGTGTGTTGTTGATAGGAATAGTCATCGTGACAGTCGCTGGATGGTGCATCATGCATCAGGCACTGGTCTGAGCACCCAATGCTTGTCCATTCTCTCGATTCTCATACAACCCAAATTACTACTATTAGCCCATTTTCACAGTTGGGAAAACTGAGGCACAGGGAGTTTTTTTGTTATTTTTTTTCCAGTAACTTATCTGAGGACACAGCTCACAAATGACTAAGTTAGGATTGGGGTCCCGAGGCTACACATCCAGCCACTGTTTTGTACAGCTTCTCTGACTCTGGCTAGAGTTGATTTGTTGGAAATGTGTGTTGTGGACAAATCAAAGACCTTGAATACCATGTTAACAAACTTGGGCTTGACTCTGCAGGCATTAGGGAACCATTATGGGTTTCTGAGCAGGGTAGCAGTAAATCTGGATTAAATTGAGATGCACACCAGAAGAAAATCCAAAGGACACTTTTATACAGAAGAAAACATGGAGAAATATATTAGCACACGTGCAGCGATCCTCTTCCATTTTGTAGAATGCCTTGTTCAGAGCAACTTCTAGTGGTCTCTCCGATCTTATTCTATAAGGAGATCAAATCCTTGGTCAGTGAGACTGAGGGAACAACCATAAGGTAGGTGGCCCTCAGATCTACCCAGGCATGTGCTCAAAATATAGGGGCAGAGCTAGGCTTGGAGACTGCTGTGTGTAGGGAGATAGGAGATCTCGGGAGAGAGTGGGAAGGAGTGGAAGAATAGAAGATGTCAGAAAGCAGTTGAGAGGCCAGCAAAATGAATCTGGACCTCAGGTGTGTAATTCAGGGATACAGTTAGCGTGATTAAATCCAAGTTTCTGGAGGGGAGGCATCAGCTATCACTTTGATTGTTCTGTAATTGCAGATAATTTCCTCTGTGGTTCCTTCTCTCATTTTAGATGCTAAAATGGAAACTCTTTCCTCATGCACAGAATGCTTCTCTTTCTCTTTTTTTAAGATTCAATTTTGCTAGTATATTCCATTAAGGACTATAAAGTCGAACTTGTTCTTCTCATGACCATCTCCTATAATGAACGTGCGATGGATGAAGTAATAGGATCTCTTGAAAGATTCATAATTGAAATAACAGCATTTTTTATTGTTGTTTTCCAGGAACTGTAGGCACAAAGGAGCCCTCTCAATGGAGGAAAAACACTAAGTAATTTGAATCTTGAGCAGAGATTAGATAGTTGTCTTGGATATAGCTTTGGGATCAAAATCACGAGAGATGAGGCATCGTCCTGCTCAGATGGTCTTTAGGGAACATCAGGTTTACATAAGTGTTTGACTTCTGAGTCACAAAGCTCAAATTGTGGGGCTAAACTCAGCCTGTGCTCTAAGCAAAAGTGTATATTTAACCTTGTAAACTATGTTGTTCAGTATAAGCATTGCCTCATCTTATGACCACACCCTCATGACTGTACTTTTGGAAACAGACTCCAGATCTGAGTTCCAAGCAGCTGTTTTGCATCCACCCAGAGGAAACCAACAGATAATTGGTGTGAGAGTAGGATGAGGAATGATTGTTAACACCATTCAACTCTTGAACATGTATTTTTGTTTGAATAATGAGTTTATTCGTTTATGTTAAAATGAGGACAAAGAAAATACTGTAAGAAAATCAAATGGTGTTGTATAAACATCCCCTCTTCAATCTCATGCTTGGCACTGATAAACTGATCAACTGTTGGTCTCTCCTCCCCTGCTTTCTTCCCAGCTGCTACTGCTTAAGAATACGTAAATCCAGCCGGGCTCAGTGGCTCAGCCTGTAATCCCACGCTTTGGGAGGCTGAGGTGAGTGGATTGCCTGAACCCGTGCGTTCGAGACCCACCTGGGCAACTTGGCGAGACCTCATCTCTACAATAAATCAAAAATCAGCCGGCTGTGATAGCATGCGCCTGTAGTTCCAGCTACTTGGAAGGCTGAGGCAGAAGGATCGCCAGAGCCCAGCAGGTCGAGGCTGCAGTGGCCGGGAGCGGCCACTGCACTCCAGTCTGGGTGACCGAGTGAGACTCCAATTCAAAAAAAAAAAAAATAGAATACGTAATTTCATGCCTTCAACTGAGTCATTTCTGACTGGGGCTATTCATAAGGAATTTGGAAATAAATCCTATTCCCAGACTCAATTCTAGGAACAAAGTCAATGTTACCAGCCTTCTGTATTGACCCTTCATTCTTCCATTTCAGTCAGATCTAGGATCTCAGGCACCCAGAACAAACCCAGGTATACATGCGGCCCAGAGCCACAGTTCTATGTTGACCTTATCTGGCCAAGTCTCAGAGGTGAGTTCTTACCCTGGTTTCCCATCCTCATTTCTGACTTACTGACCCATCCGGGACTCTGCTTTTCTCTTTAGTCCTAATCCCTGTCCCAGCGCTCATCCAACCTCGTGACTAGCCAGGGCTTTCTGTTAGGCCAGGCCATGGAATGATGGTGCCATAGGACAGGGCACATTTACCTTATTGAACTCTCATATTGATTCCTGCTCACTTCATTCAGTGTTTCTCAGCAGCAGTGGTAGCACCCCCTGGAGGATGTAGTTGACACTTCAAGGGGCATTTGTAGTCAAATTATTGAGGGTGGCTCTGACAGCACTTGCTGAGAGGGAATCAAGGAAGCTAGCTGTGCAGGCACTACAACCAAGAAGTGCTGTGCGTCCTGTGCAACCTTCCAAAGTCACCTTGACCATGTGTGTGAAAAACCTGTTTATGATCATCTAGGTGTGGAACTCAGTTCTATTTTACTTGGAAACACAAGTCACTTTTGCAAAGTTTTCATGTACACTGAATTTTCCAAAAATGCCATCTAAGCATGTTTAGAGCAAGAGAAGATTATACCTCGTTTGGTTTAGAAGTTTACCAAAAGTAGTCACAATTTCAGAAGAGCATTTCACAGGCAGCAACATCACTGTTGGTGTTCAGGTTGCCGGCATACTTTTCTCCATCTCCATCTCTGTCTCTGTCACATTTACTTTGACCTTGAAGCAAATACTTCATTGTGTCTTCTAATTAGTCATCCCTAAACATTCACATGTTCCAATATGTACTATTTTATTACAAAGTATTTCTCTTTACCAGCATTTATTCTTTATTTTTTATACTTAGGGCATGATATCGAGCTTTTCAAAATATGTGAGTAGGCGAATTGGATTACTTGTGAATTTCCTTACAGAAGGAAACTTAACAAAACATTCATTTAAAAATAGACCATTTGGTAGTTGGCTCATCGGCGCTGTCATGGCGGGGGTGCTGAAGAAGACTACTGGCCTCGTGGGATTGGCTGTATGTGACACTCCACACAAGAGGCTAAGAATATTGTACACAAAGATTCTTGATGTTCTTGAGCAAATCCCTAAAAATGCCGCATATAGAAAGTATACAGAGCAGATTATAAATAAGAAGCTGGCTATGGTTAAAGCGGAACCAGATGTTAAGAAATTAGAAGACTGGCCGGGTTCGGTGGCTCAGCCTGTAATCCCGTGCTTTGGGAGGCCGAGGTGAGTGAATTGCCTGAGCCCGCGGGTTCAAGACCCACCTGGGCAACTTGGCGAAACCTCATCTCTACAATAAATCAAAAAAATTAGCCGGGCGTGGTAGTGCGCACCTGTAGTTCCAGTTACTCGGAAGGCTGAGGCGGAAGGATTGCCAGAGCCCAGCAGGTCGAGGCTGCGGTGGCCAGGAGCGTGCCACAG